ATCACTTAAGGTCTAACCACATAATGCTTAATCTATTACTTAGAACAAAATCCTTACACTCTGTACAGACTACTACTACAATACGTTAATTGAATAGACAAAATAATTGTACAATGTACCTATTGCGAGAAAATGGAGATTGCGAGCAGTATGCAAAAAAAAAAGAAACAATATACATACATACATAGTTAAAAGATTTGAATATTCAAGCGTTTTTCTGGAAATGCAGCCATTAATCATATGTACGTTTTCTTGCTTTTATTAATTTATTAAATCAATAAGCATTATACTAAAAGCATTTACAAATTTCAAATTGTTCAAGTTTTAGATATTTTTTTGCAAATTTTTAAGGAAAACGATTTTTTCTGCTTTTGGCACATTGAATTTTATAAATTTCGCATTTATACATTTCTCTTGCACTTATGCCAGTTTTAATTTTTCGCTTCCTTCAAAGTGCTCCACTCGCTGCTAACTTCGTCCTGTCATTTCCATAAAAGCCAAATATGCAACATTCAACGCTGCATCAAATTGAGGACAAAAGTTCATTGGAATTTGTGCTTGTGCTACCATTTTGGCTGCTTTCTATTGAAAAAGTGTTCCTTTCTGCAATGAAATGACATTTATTTTACTTTTATTTATTTTATGCTATTATTCTTCCAAGCATTAAAATACATTTTTAGTGCACATTTACGGGCTTCCACTTGCCATTTTTTGGCACATTCTTCTATTCAATTTTACTGCACAAGTGGTTTCACATAGAGTGTAGCGAAATTGCAAATTTTAACTACTCTCTTTTTTTTTTGTACGGCATATTTTATTCTATCAATCGATTTTATCGAATATTTTTCGATTTGCACAATGCCAATGATGTTCATAGGATGGACATGTGTTCCGCATATGTGCTCACGAATGTGCAATTTCAGTGAATTTTTTTTTCGTTTTTTTTTTTTTTTAAATATTTCTTAGCCATAAAAATGCAATTTTGTTTACATTTCTGGTAAATCGAGTTGTGAGGTATTTATTTACTTATTTTTAGGGAAACATTCAATTAAAAATATATAATAGACACAAAAATGTAATTTTGAAACGCAGATGTTGGGTTGGGTTGAATCATGGACACAGAAAAAAATGTATAGTTCACACTAGTTGACTAATTCGTGAGTAATTTTTATCAGTGACCGACGTAGGATAGTGTCGGGACTGCGGCCAAAAGTAGTCTAATTCACTGATGCAACTTAAAATAAAATGTTGATGTCAATTGCTTCGCTATATATCCATAAGAACATTTCAAGCAATGTTTTTTTAAATGTGTTCGAAAGTTTCGGTCATAAAAAAAAATACATGTGCGGCAAATTAAATTTTTTAATTAATGCGGAGATTTTAACTGTTTGAAATTTTTTTATAACACTGCGCGACAATTTTCTGATAATTATCCAGTAATAAATTTATTTCATTACCTGATAAAGTTTTCATGTCCCGAACTAAGTAGTTTTCAAAAAACGGAAAAAATAGTTTAAAAAAAATTTCTGAGCGAAATTAAAAGTTAAGACATATGCATGTAGTAATATTTAATGGGAAATACTTTCGTACAACATTTTAAAGCATTAGTTCCCGCCTGAAAGGGTCGTTTTGCCCCTTACTTCGGAAACCCCATAAAAATAAAATTTGAAAGGTCGTTAGAGGTTTGAAATATTCAAAAAATTATTCTTCGGAAAATTTTACTAATCTTCCAAGGCAAGAACTTTATGCCATCAACGTAAGAAGCTTATAAAAATTTAAATAAAATAGCAGCAAAAAAAACTTGTTTTTATATAAAAAATTTTTTAAAATTAAGTTTGGCTCTTCCTCCTTCTCATAGATTTTTACCGTTATTCCTCTAAAGTGTAAAAAATAAGTGGATATTAATTGTGCGTAAAAAATTAAAAGAGAATAAAAAATAAATATCCGAACGTATCAGCGATTTTTCAGAATTTGTTCACGTAATGTTAACCTCAAATTTAGACACATGAGAATGTTCGCTTAAGTTCGCTTCATAGTTTTTATTATTTATATATATATATGTAAATAATACATTATTAACGTTGCATATGAATTTACTTCAAAATCAATTGAAATGTGTTTTTTCTTGGTCTAACACATTTGTGTGAATTGTGTGTATATTGTGGGCGTGGTAGTAAACCGACACGGCGACAAAACAGCTATTGGTCAGGTAAAACCGGAGTCGACCCGGTACGTAGAACCGACTCACATAGCTCCGATAGCTAGATCCGCCCATTAGCTAGACCCGGCGTTTTCATCTTTTTTTATAAAAACTTAAGAATAGATTTTCACACGCAATAGCTATGTTCTGCCATGACTGGCCATATGCAAAAGTGAGCGATACTTGGGGTTTACCCAGTCGATATGGAACCATTTAACTGACCATTATGAGATTCTCCGGGGTACAGAGCAAGATTGAGGAGATAACCGTCTTCATGTGTCGGCATGGTATATTGATAGCTGCGGTCCAAGAGACGAAGTTGCACAGCAATTCAACTTTGTTGAATTGCGCCGGGTACAACGTGCATCGTCGAGATCGTGAGCGAGATAATGGTGGTGGCTTAGCGTTCATCACGCACCACACCGTGCAGTAACGTCTTATCGAAGCAGACATCCACCGCAGGGATACCACCCTAGAATGTCAGGGCATCGCTATCCGGTCAGGCGATGTCGAGCTCGAAATATTTAACATATACATACCCCCTGTCACCTGCTGCCCGGCAGGATATCACCCTGATATAGGTGCGCTCCTCAGAGGTGAAAACCGTATGGTAGTAGGTGACTTTAATGCGCACCAGGATCTTTGGCACTCAAGCCTGTCAAACGATCGTAGGGGAACAGACTTGGCTGAGCAGATAGACGATTCGACATTCTGCACAATGAACGACGACGCACCCACCAGGATTATGGGTAACTGCAGTAGCTCGCCAGACATCACAATAGTCAGCGCTGGTCTGATAAACAGCATAACGTGGCGACCTATGCTGACTCTAGCATCAGACCACCTACCCATAGTCATCTCGATAGATAAACCAACCGACTTTGCCTCCGCCAAACACCGGATCTATATCAACTTTTATAAAGCTGATTGGAAAGGTTACGCGGAGTTTACCGAAAACACCTTCACAGCGCTCCCCACACCAACCGACGCCCATCTTGGTGAACGTAAGTTCCGCAGGGCTGTCACTGCTGCTGCAGCTCGCTTCATACCGGCAGGATGTATATCGGACCCACGTCCAAACTTCCCTGCCGAAGCGGCTGATCTAGCCGATGAGCGTGATAGCCTTCGTCAGGCCGATCCCGGAGATCCCCGTATCAGGGATCTCAACGCGGAGATTCGGCAACTAGTAAACGTACATAAGCGGAAGAAGTGGGAGGAGCATCTGAAGACCTGTAATTTCACCTCTGATGTGAGCAAGCTTTGGTCAACCGTGAGGTCATTGTCTAATCCGACGAAGCACGACGACAGAGTCGAAATTTCCTTCGGCGACCATGCCTCGTCGGACCCGGAGCGATGCGCGAGCTATTTTAGCCGGCAGTTCATACCTCCGGTGGACAAAGCCAAGCGTCGAGTGACCAGAAGGCTGCACAAACTGCCAACAACCTGTGCCCCCTTGCTTTCACTTGCGGTGAAGTTCAGGTGGCCATCGGGAAGGTGAAAGCCTCCAAAGCCATGGGTCCCGACGGAATATGCATGCTGATGCTGAAAAATTTGGGTCCTGCGGGGGTAGCGTACCTAACGGAGGTCCTCAACTTGTCAATGGCCACTCTCATCATCCCAGACATCTGGAAGGTGGGGAGAGTGGTCCCACTGCTCAAACCGGGGAAACCTGCCAAGAAGGGAGATTGCTATCGTCCGATAACACTCCTTTCCCCGGTAGCGAAGACACTCGAGGCCTTGCTACTCCCGTACTTCACAAACCATCTGACCCCAGCGAAGCATCAGCATGGTTTCCGTAAAGTGCACAGTACAACAACAGCACTTAACTCCATAAACACTCAGATAACTCGTGGCCTTACCCGAAACCGTCCCTGTGAGAGAACGATTCTAGTAGCGTTGGACTTGTCAAAGGCGTTTGACACCGTCTGCCATTCCACGCTACTAGAAGATATAGAGGCCTCCTCTCTCCCATAGAGGCTCAAACGGTGGTCGGCAAATTATCTGAGTGGTCGACATTCGTCGGTAATGTTTAGAGACAAAACGAGTAAGCAGCGAAAAATAAAACAGGGGGTTCCTCAGGGTGGTGTCCTTTTCCCACTACTGTTTAACTTTTACATTTCAAAGCTCCCTCAACCACCAGAGGGAGTCTCGATTGTCTCTTATGCCGACGATTGCTCGATCATGGCGACTGGGAATGGAATTGATGACCTGTGTTCGAAAGTAAACGGGTAGATACACCGAACTTTCTCGCTTCTTCACTGCAAAGTATCTAGCCCTCTCCCCTACGAAATCCTCCGCGACCCTGTTCACAACCTGGACGAAGGAGGTCAGGCTACCGCTGGGGATTCACGTCGATGACACACCAATTCGGACGGTGAATAACCCCAAAATACTCGGAGTAACATTCGACAGCCTGCTCTCCTTCTCTGCGCACTCAACCGCTATTGTCAATAAAGTACAGAGCCGCAACAAGGTCCTCAAGTCGCTAGCCGGCAGTACTTGGGGCAAAGACAAAGAAACGTTGCTGGCAACATACAAGGCAATAGGCCGGCCGGTTTTGAACTACGCAGCGCCAGTGTGGTCGCCAGGGACTAGTAGGACGCAGTGGACGAAGCTACAGACTGTACAGAACACCGCACTAAGGACAGCGACAGGATGCCTCCTGATGTCGCCTGAACACCACCTGCACGGCGAGGCGCAAATGCTCCCTGTAAAGGAGCACAATATAATGCTCTGCAAGCAGTTCCTGATCGGGAGCCACAGAAATGGCCGCCCAAGCAGACAGCTGCTTGCAGAGGAGCCCTCGCCTAGGCACGTCAGGAGGCATCTATATGAACTGACGGACGAAGTCCAGAGGTTCATTAAGCAACCTCTGGACCCGACAGCGTACCGACAGGCCCTGAACGGCATTCACAGGGACTCAGTCTCGAGTTATGTAGACTCTAGACCTGTGAATGCCGTTCTAGGCATACCACCCCCGGACATAGACGAGACGGAGCTTCATCTGCCTCGCGAGACACGCACAATACTTGCACAACTTTGCTCCGGCTACTGCAGCAGGTTGAACTCCTACCTGAGTAGGTTGAATGAGGATGTGCCGAATCAGTGTCCGGCATGCGGAGAGACCCCACATGACTCGAAACATCTCTTCGCATGCCCGGAAAACCCGACAACCCTAACGGCCTCGTCCCTGTGGACAAACCCCACAGAAGCTGCACGCTTCCTAGGGTTGCCGTTAGTGGTACTTGACGACAACGACTGAGATACAAACCGTCCTGGGCGGGGTTGTTGTAGCCGCTACAACAACAACAACAACAGATTCTCCTTTGCTACAAAAAAAATCTTAAAGCTGTTCTCTATGTTTTCTTTAATTATTAGTTTTCCTCCTTTTCATTTTCCACCAACTTATAAATGCTCCACTGTTTATAAATTCTCTCATTTTCTCAATGCATACTTATCATAATTTGTGCAGTTCAACAGTTCTTTGGAATTTCACTTTACATTACGACGCCAACAACAAATCACATACAAACACCTGCCTTGTTGTTGTTGCTGCTGATGTATTAACGACAGCTGTAAATCGAATAGCAAAACCATATAGACGGGCGGACGAGCAGATTACCACTGTAGCCAACAACAAACAGTAGTAACAGCAGCCACCAACAGCAGCCACCAACTACTACACCATAACACTGGCTATAGCTGTGTTGCACATTAGGGCATGTTAGAGGGCTGCAGCAGCGGGCAAGGCATAATCGCAGTAGAAATCTCGGTGTAAAAACGGCGTTAAATGCTAACAGTGTCGCAGTCGGCGCTGTCCAAACACTACCAGCAGTCTGCAGCCAGTGCCCGGTGCATGTGCACTAACTATTGAGCAAAAGTCAGTTTTGTACTTTGCAAGCAAGTATGTACTACAATAAGCAGTGGAGTATGTATGCGAGTACTATACTCGCATTTGTATGAATGCATGGATGGATGTACGTTTGTGCATCGGTCGGTGTGTCATAGGTATCCGCTGGTTGGTGTTGGCAAACACGTTTCACAAGACACCACATAATTGCGCGTTGGAGACCGATGTACATATGTATAACAAAACAAGCGAAAACTTATAGGAATGCTATCAAGTATGCAACACACGGATGCACTGTTTGTATGCGTCTCTGTGTTTATAAGAATTCTTCAGAGCACAGATGCTGTAGCCAGTAGACGTACATATGTGGCTGCTGCTGTTGCTCCCGCTGACGCCTCTTGGCATTCATTCATCCCTAGACACACACACACACACACGCATACTCGCTACCTTTCCAGAGTACTCATTCTTGATTAGCTCTATAGCTTCGCTTGAAGATCAGCTCCGAATGAGCTTGATTTGTTTCCCAACTCGACTGCATTTTGTTTTTTGATCATTTTTTTTATCTACATTGTATGACTAGAGCAGCAGCTGAGCCCAAAAAATTGTG